AGAAATAATTCCTGAAACGAGCTACAAGAAATTGGCATTGTAAATCAAAGGTTTTTACAATGCATTGATCTGTAGCTCTCTGCTGTATCTGTCCTAATTTTCTCAAGCAGAGAGCTATAGTTCTGCAGCTACTCATTTCCTTGTGTATACAATGATTTAGAGGGATTGTCCAATTTTTTATTCAAATCATTAAAAAATTTACCCCTTTGTCAGATTCCACCAGCTCTTTCAGGTACACCAATTTCTCAGTGTACTCATCAAGGTTTTCTTGAGCAGGGCGACTAAAATTCAAAAAAGTAATGTCTTTAAGGAAATATTTCTTTTCATTAAAATCTGTTCAAATTATATGTACTTCATTGAAATAAATTTCAATCAGTCTTAGCTCAGTTTCAAACCTGACTCGAGACCTCTTCATTTCACTCAGTAAATCTTGCAGAGTTTCTACATACTGAAAAAATAAAACATTATTGTAATAAAACCTTGTAAGAAAACCCTTTGTGGTACAACTTTAAAATAAAAAAAATCAATGAAGTCTAGTTTCGTTTTAATGACAGAAGATACAAACAAAAAATGGTTGCCTGGATTTGTATATATTTTATAAAATAAAAGCTACGCGGTGAAAGTTATTCATTTTACTCATTAAAACATGACTCAAGTTGTTGATTTCATATCTTTTGACAAAAGTTTTTTTTGTATTATCTGTCCTTAAAGCTGACATGAACTCTTAAAAAGGCATCAGTTTCCATCTTTGTATGACTTACTACGTTCCTGTACGCCCTTGTCCGACATATTTGTTCGATTCCGCCATAGTTAATCGAAGATTTTTGGCCACCTGTACCTGCTATATATAGCCTTGACGAATTGTTTCACTTGAGTGATTTTCTAGTCTGGCTGTCGACATGTACACATCTCCGATAGCATAGTTTTTAAAAGTCCATAAACGACCAATACAGTCATGTTTGAAAAGTAAAAATTCAACAAAAAATAGAACTATAAAGAATTAAATTATTTTTGAATGCATTTGCTGCAATATAAAAAGTACACTAACACGGAATACATTTATGTACAGCAAAAATCCATGAAGGTCGAGAAAACGCGTCAAACGCAGTGATAAAACATTTACCTGAATACTGCTATCGTTACAGGGATGTGCACATGTCGAAAGAATTATCCTATTTTACTTTTATTGAAAAATGCATCTCAGAAGTCATGTAATCCATTGCTAACTCAAAAGTAAAAGATGCTTGGACACACGTGGCCCATGCCGATCATTTTATTTGGTCAGGGAAAATATCAAAGGTTGAAAGCTCAGTGGGGTTGATTGAATTTTTTTTTAATAAACATTGCTCTTGTTTGTAAATGTTGTAAATAAAAATTATGATTATACATGGTTTAACTTCATTAAATTTATAATAAAGCATGCATGATTACAAATCATTCGCACCTTTTGAGGATATTTTCCTGTGATAGGAGGAGGGGGGTGGGTAACAAAACATGCATATTAACACTCTCATAAAAATAATTTATGAAAAACGTCTGAAACAGATTAATTATCAGGGGCGTAGGGGGGCCTGCCCCCCCCCACTTTTTTCCCCAACCTCACTTATACTATTGGAAATGTTAATTGAAAGGCTGCCCCCCCCCCCCACTTTTAGTGATGTACATGTACCGAAAATGTAGTATTAGAATTGGCACTAAAAGTAGTTGACACTGAGAAAAAGTGATCCCCCCACACGAAATAGGATTTTCGACTTTCCTCCCCCCCCCCCCCTTTTTTTTTGCTCGTCAACTTTTTCAGGTAAGTGAAAAAAAAATTTTCTCTGGCTGCCCCCCCTTTCAAAAACGATGCTACGCCACTGATTATTTCAAATAAATACTGTGTATAGGCTTTATTAGACCTAATATAATTTGATTTAAAGTTATTTATAATTTTATGCACAATGAAAGAAAAAAAGTGAGTAAGTTCACATACCCCACGCTCCCCCAAAAGTCGAAGTGCTGAAATTCCCAAAAAAAAAAATAAAGGAATCGTAATTTCCATTACATGTAATATGCTCATCTATACACATTGTGTCCTAAATATCTGCAAAGTTTGACGAAATTTAATTGTGTGCAGCGGTTTATGAAGAATTGCGCTGACAAATTGCTCATCTTTATATTCAAGATATGGCCAAAATCTAAATGTAAAAGTGCGGAAATTCCCGAAAAAAATAAAGAATTTGGAATTTTCCGGTGATGTGTAAATCTACACACACATTGTCTCCTATAAATATCTGCAAAGTTCGACAAAACTCTGTGCAGTGGTTTACCCCCCCCCCCCCCCCACTTTTTTCCGCGACCTAACTCATACTATAGGAAATATTAATTGATTGTGTGGGTTTTTTTTTTTTTTTTTTTTTTTTTTGCTTGTCAACTTTTTCGGGTAATGAAAAAAATTCTCTGCCTGTCCAACACTTTAAATTACAGTGCTACGTGCCTGCTTTTTGATTCGACACATATTTTGGGTTTAGCGACAACAGTAAAATATGGACTTTGCCATTATAATCATATGGGAGGCGGGGTATCATTTAGTGAGCTCATTGTTCACAATACCTCTGGTTTCTATTTCAATTTGGGCCTGTGGGCGTGTGGGTTAATTTCTTGTCCAAATTAAAATTATTATTCAATTTATGAAGTTTCGACATCCTGCCTGAGAAAAATTCTTGATCAGTTCTAAGGCTTAAGAAATGGTACAGCACGCGTAGGATCTTATACCTATTATTGCCCTAACAGATAGGAGAGAGAGAGAGAGAGAGAGAGAGTTCAATATACAAAAGAGTTAATAAAAATTATCCGTATTCAACCAGTGTCAAGTATCCCTACCCTAGCTCTTAAAATTATCTCTCAAATACTTCTACAGAAATTATTTTTATACAAAAAAATAGCTAGACTATCAAGCAGGAATACTGAAATCTCGAAAGACTCTCTGTAACAACATAATACAGTTACATTCCTCAAAATGCACATACTTTGTGGTCGGAGTCGCCCATTTAAAAAAAATCTCAAAATTGAATTCGGCAGAGATGTCTGTCTTCCAATAATATTTAAATAACGGTCATGTCAATTATTTTTGCATGCCCCCACCCCCACCCGCGCCTAAAAATAAAATCAAATGCCTAAATGTGAATCTGAACAGGGGATGGCCTTTCTCCGAGTGTGTGTGTTAAAGAACGTATAGATGTACACATAAAAATTACTTGGTTTAGATTGGAGATTAGTACTAAAACAATCAGTTATAATTGACAAATGAATTTTGCGATGCAAACCAACTGCAGACTATATACATGACTTTGTATAGAATGTATATTAGAACTACATGTAGATAGACAATTCACAATTATAGCTTATGAACAGCAGTTATAATACTTTAACCCCCCCCCTTTTCAGCCACGCAAATGCCAAATAACTTCTCTTTCCACTTGTGATATTTTCCCTGACCAAAATGTGATCAGCACGGACTAAGTGTATCGACTGTACGGAGTAATGACAGTGTGTTACTATTGAGCTTTTATGGAGTTTATTTCTTTTTTGTGATGCATATTTCAATAAATGGGATTCAGGGTGTATATCACTTGACTTGTGCATATCTTCGAACCGATGCAGTAACCTTATTTCCAGGTATGGGTACGTTTACAGCGTTCGAGGCGTTTTCTCGATATGCATCAATTGCATCTTTAGGACCTGCAAATCAAAGACGTAGGTTGTTTTGTTCCATTCAAATGATATAATTTCAAAATGTGTTTGCAGATTTTACTGCTTTTTATTTCAAGTTTATTCTGCATAAATTTGCGCACTCTAAAACACGTACTCATGCATCTAAATTTCTCTTCCAAACTTGCATTTTTTTCCTTTTGGTTCAAATCAATAATTATTCAGAAATATGATTATCATGTTGTTTGTTGTGCTTTTGAAATGTCTTGATCACCTAATGTGTTCTCATGTTCTTTACAATCGGAGATGTGCACAAGTAGATACCCAAGCCAAAAAATCATTCAAGTGTAACGGCCGCATTGGGGTATATATCGGATTAGCACTTCGACTGAACGCTAGGGGGATATTATGAACGATAACTCCAAATCAGCGGAAGTTGTTAGATATATAGCGAAGTCCGTGCGAAGAGATACGCGCCACACAGAACTTCTACCTATCTTGAGCATAGGTTGAATTAGGACATTACCTGAAGAGTGACATTGTCTAGGTGGGTTTATTTTTATATCTATAGGTATGTGGCAGGATTATTTCATAAAGTTTATGTTATTTACTTCTTTAATTTTCAAATAAATTGAATTTTAAAACGTGTGCCCGAAATGTACAAGATCAAAATATAATTTTTTGAATAGGTATTCCTGTTTCTACGATGATCTATCAATGATTAATAGATGGGGGAATATGAAAAAGAAATTATGTGAAAAATCCCAAGTTTTATAATTGAAGCAATTTTTGACAATTATTTTTAAATATAATGAAGCAGTATTTTGTTGTTTTAATTACACCCCTTTGCAATCAGCTGTTTATAGTCTGTTTCAAAATGTATATCCAAAGAGCAAGAAGAGAGGTATGTAAATTTCTTGAAAAAACCAATTTTACTTCTGTTTACGTCTGTTCCTTTAATTATTGATGAATATTTATAGTAATGATATTTTTTTTGGCTATTAATGTTGATGATAAGAGTTCAGCAATCATAATAAAAATATTTTTGAAATAAATAAACTACTATATGCTCCGTGTATTATAATTGCTTGTAGAAAAAAGTTTATATAGGCCTATTTCAATATTGTATGCATGTCTTTAATTTTTTTTAATTTTTTGTAGAGAAGACATTAGTCTGACATTTTATCCAGTACCATCGGGATTTCATTCAGTACCATATATGCACAGAATAGGTACAGTACATCCTAGATAATTTTTTATTCATAATTTTTCATGTGTGTGTCTTGTGCACAGATCCCTTCTGAAGGCAAAATATTATTGAACATCATTTATGCACTTCACTGTGTTATGTTTATGTGGAGTTTGCCATGACAAAGTATGTTATAAGGCCTCTAATAATATGTTTGTTTGAAACAATTATTATGGTGGGTAGGAGGGGGCTTCTTTACACAACACATCTAAGTATAGTTACAACACTGATGAAAAAAATATAGTTCTTGAAATTTATGCTTATTCTTTACAGCATATATGGTAAATATTTCGTTAAAGTTTAACTGTGAAACTCACCAACATGATATGTAATTCTGACATTCAGAACATTTTCCAAAAGGTGGATGGAAATTACTTAGCATTTCATGAAGAACTTTGTAAAGCGTTCCAAATAGAAAAGGAGAATGTGAATCCACTTAGTTTATTTTCAAAGGCTAAGCGAACCTTAAATGAACTTAAAAGACTGAATAAATTTTCAAATAAGGAAAAATATTTAGAAAAATTAAAGTTACAATTCATTTTGCCCTCTCTGAAGCAAAAACAAGTTGAAAGTGTACAAAAGCAAAGTAAAAAACAAAAAACTGAAGATGATTCCTGCGCTAATTGTGAGCAAATGCGAAAGGAGAACAAAAGAATTAAAAAAAGGTTAAAAGATATTAAAGTACATGTACTGAATCAGAAATTAAAAAGAAATAAGCACACTATCCAACGATTGCAGACTACAATCAACACTCTCCGTGTAAAATTAAAAGAGTCTGTTTCAAGAGAAAGTAAACAAAATAAAAATAGCAGTACTGTTGGTACCCAATGCAACACAATCAAATCAGATATAAATGACCTCAAAGAAGAGATTGAAATCTTAAAATTATCTTTACAAGATAATAATGATAAAGACACAGAAACTCAAAAAACATTAAATTTCAGAAATACTGAATGTAGGGGCAATCCATACAATTTTAAATTAAGAAAACTTTTATATGAATTTAGAAGTAGAAATATTCCTTCTGAACACATCAATCCAATTATCAGAGAAGTGTTAGCTCTTGTTGATGTTTGTGTAGAGGAGTTGCCACATCCATCAACTGTTGCAAAGTTAAGTAGTGAATTAGGCATTATTAGTCGTACTCATATTTGTTCTGAAATCAAAGATTTAGATAATCTAACAATTCACAGAGATGCCACCACTAAGAAAGGTCGACACTATTATGGAGTGGAAGTTTCAACAAATGAAAAAACATTTACAGCTGGGTTGCGAGAGGTTGTTGATGGCAGAGCAGACACATATGTTAGTTGTTTTAAAGAAATTTTTAATGATACTTGCACTGACTCAGAAGACCCCAATTTTAACATTATTACAAATGTGAGCAATTTCATGACTGATAGAAGTGCAACAGAACAAAAAGTCAATAATATTTTGGAGGCTGAAAAAAAGAGCCATTCAAATCATGAGATTACTATAAATTCTTTTAAATGTTCTGTGCATCCTCTTTTGCAATTTTCGGATGTTTGCCTTAGAGAAATTTCAAAACTAGAAAAAGATTATAAAATCAAATTTGATTCAAATAATAATGAGTCTTCAACCATGTTTTTATTGCGTTGTGTTTCCAAATTGTTTTACAAAGATGGATGTGGTGACCCCTTACTTGCTGCAACATACTTGAAAGACAAGTTGAATATTTCAAGGGTACAGATCATGAACTTCAGGGGAAATAGATTTAATACTTTATTTTACAATGCAGCAGGGACATTTTATCTTCATGAAGATATTTTAATGTACATAAAAGAATCAAAAAGTTCTTTGAATTTTATACATTCTTACATTTGTACAGCTCTTTCAGATAACAGTATTTTATGTATTTTACGTGCACTAGGAATTTTAAACGTTCTTTTTACCCAACCCTACTGGAACTGTGCTGAAGTTTCTACTTCTGCTATCGAAATGGGAAGCGTGTACAGAAGAGTGGTAGAATTTCTTGAAATTTGTGTTGAAAATCCTCTTTTACTTTTGAAAAACAAAATACGATTAATCTGTGGGCCAACTCTTCATGATGAAGTTTCTTCTTCTCTATTTTTACCATCTGTAAATGATGCAGGCACTTCTCATGTTTTAGAGAGTCTTTGTGTAGTTTTAAAGGAAAAATGTGAGCAACTTTTTAAGGATTTTTTAAAAGGTGGTAAATTTTTTGATCCACCCAAACATATTATTCAAAATAGCCAGTCTTGTCCTCCAAACAATATCAATGTTGAAAGACTGATGTCTAAATTAGATTCTAACATAGCAAAAGCCCCCACTTACAATGTCAATACCATGGAAAGTATTATAATGTATAAAAATAACAAAACATCTGAATGGTTAAAATCGAAATCTGAAAAAGATCAGTGTGATTTAATTACCAAAGCAAGAAAAAGAAATACAAAGGTTTTAAAAGTTGTGAAAGAGCGAAAGCAAAATCTATTCAGAAAACATTTAGAACAATTAAGAGAGAGGCAAAAATCTGTACTTTTAAAAACTCAAAAGAAAGAAAAACAAGTTAATTCTGCAGTGGATAAAATCAAATCACATGGCTTATGGAGTGATAAGAATCGAGTGCAGATTGAATTAGAAAAACTTCCAACGAAAAAAGAAAAAGTAGCAGCCTTGAAAGAACAAATTAATTTATTGAAGACTGTATTTACTTTGCAACCCGCAGACAAACATTTAACCCATTTTAGCAAAAACAAAAAAAGTCATGACATAGAAACTCTCACAAACAATTTTCTAACTTTGATTGAAAAAACTAGTACTATAACAAGAAGTTCTGCATCTGTGAAGGATACAACATTAAAACCCCTGGAATTGATAGGGAAATATTTCAAACACCTATGGACCGACAAAGGTCAGGACAGCCTATGGGAGGGAAAAATAGTTTCATATCAGGATGGAATATTTAAAGTACATATAAAATATAATTTATTAATTTAAATCTAATACTTTAACAATATTATAAAACAAAAAAATGGTGTAAATATTATGGGAATTTTAACATCCATACGTTAATCTTATTTTCTTCCTAATTTCTTAACAATTTAAAATCTGTTTTTATTTATAACCCCCACACCACCCTACCCACTTAATTGCGGGGGAAGAAGGGAGGTGTACCATAACTGTGAACTAAAATCAATTACAAAAGGTAAAACTAGTGACATAAAATAGAAAGAAAATTTAATTAATGTATCGTAATCTTTTGCCCATGCTTTATTAAAAAAAAATTGATAATTTCTCTACAAAATCTTATAATATGTACTTAATATATAGTTGCTAGTTTTATTTTGTGACTTTGTTCATAGTACTTGTATAAAAGAAAGTAATTGAGCAGGTGCTGATCCAGGAATTTTTTCCAGAGAAGGGGGGGGGGGGGTCCACCCCAGTCCCCCCCAAAAAAATCCAACCCAGAAATTTCTTGACAAGCAAATAAAAAAAAACAAACTTAAAGTCTTCCAAATGTCGAAAAACTATTTCATGGGGGGTGGGGTTGTCGTTGACTTCTAATAATCCAAAACTCTGACTGTTCATCCCAATCTAACGCAAATTTGTGTTTTCCAGGGGGGTCTGTATTTTTCCATAGGGGGTCCAAGGTCACTTTTTACTTGCTTTAGCATATGAATTTATAGCCTTGCAAATTCCAGGGGGGGGGGGGGGGGGGGGTCCAGACCCCCCCCCCCACCCCCCTCTAGATCCGCGCATGATTTAGCATGTGATTCATTGGCATGTTGAAATATTTGATACTTTGTTGCATAAATCACTGTATTTTTTAAATGCACACTATGTTTTCTTTAATACTTCTGTAATTGCTTATTTAATGAGTAAAATATGTATATTCAGTAATTATAATTTTTAATTATTTTAAATTTGTGTTCTCAACTTTGCACTATAAATGCTTTTATGCTGTTCATGTATTCATAATTTTAGTATAAACATATATCACAAAGCTTAAAGAGTCTGGAAAGCCAATTTCATATTCTACTGTATTGGTTTACTTATATTGGGTACCAGGCATATAAATGCCATTCAACTAATATTTCATTTTTAATTTCTTACAGGTAAAATACTGGGAAAGAGGAGAGGAAGAGGTTGAAGGGGAGGATATTTTTGAGCTAACAGTACAAGAGATTGTACAGGACATTAAAGAGGGTCATTTAACCTTCACAGAGACAGACACTACCCATCCTTCATTAGTGCTAGACCACTGCTACTCTTTGCAAAAATAGTAATTATTAATAATTCTTTTAAATTCATTATGTCTGAAAACAAGCTTCGAAAATTTATTTCTAAACCTACACAACCACCATCAGGTCAGAAAAGCTATGTTCCTGTTGTACTATCAGATAGTAAAGGCAACTGGCTGAAAAGGCATGTTATGAATAGTACAGAAAAAGAAATTCTGTGGTGGGCACGTAGTGGTGCAAAGATTGAAGACAGCACAGAGTGGCTTAAAAGTAACATAATGGAAAAAATTAGACATCATGGAAACATCTGGTTGTATGTTTGGTTAGGCACATGTAACTTAACTTCAAAAAATAAGCAGTATATTACACTTACATCCGATAATGATGATGAAATTGATAATATTATAATGAACTGCAAAGAAATTAAAGGAACTCTTCAGAAATATCCTAGCTGTAAAGTTACTTTTTTAGAAACCCCTATATATTCTGTTAAAGAATGGAATAAGAGCAAAGGACACAAAAACCCCACTATTTTTGAAATTGATGATGAAAAATTAGAACAACAAATTTACACCTTAAATAATAGAATTAGAGAATTAAATAAAAGCAATGAAGTATACTCCCCCCAGTTTTCTTGCGATTTAAGTAATACAGATAAATATCGTTGTGGGAAAAGTAGAAAATTGAAAGTAAAGAGATACTATAATTTCAAACTCTATAAAGATGGCATTCACCCTGACACCTTATTAGCAAAATGTTGGCTGAAAAAAATATCAGAACAAGCAAAAAGAGACTGCTGGGTTTAATGTAACAGTAATTTTACATCTGAGTTCCCATTTCATTTTGTAATTAATATCTATTTACATGTACACATGTATACCATTTGCCAAGTAGGTTATTAGTCCAGATCTGTTCCTAAAACATTTCAAAGAAGTCATACTGAGATGCGTGAAATGAAATTGTTTGCAGAATTAAAAATCTTAAGTACTATTTTAAGACTTTAAATTAGATAATAATTTAAATACTTATTTTTACTGGCTTCAGGGCAGCTATGTTGAAGGATATGTTTTTGTTTGTTTTCTTTATTCTTTAAAAAAATCAAAATACATCTGATTTTGCGTAATTGTCCTTTGCACAAAGGTATTAGAAATTGTTTTTCAACTCTGCTTATAAGTAGAACTTACCATAGAAATGCTGGCATGAATCTTAAATTTTTTTTTTATAGAAAGAAGTATGACATAATTGGGCATAGTGCACATTTATCCCAACAATAGCCAAATTGAAGATAAAATTGAATCATTTTTTCTTTTCTTTTTTTTTCCCCTTTTTCATGAAATAATTTTCTTCAGATATTTGATGGTCAAAATTTGTTACTTTACATAAACTGATGGCTTTTTAGAATAATTTATGCATAAAGTTTTTTTTTATTTTAATGGTATCAGATTTATTGGAACACCCTGTGTTTGAAAGTGCCTAACCAGACATACACCCTTTCTTTAAGGATATCTGATCCTCAGGCAGGAAGGATAACTCCGAAAATTAAATATTTAATTTGAAATGCATTAAAATGAAGCTTGAAAATGATTTTTTTTTATGCAACAATTTTCATTTTATTGATCTTTTATGATCTTTATAAGATTCAAGGTTTTTAGAAGTCTTAAAAAAGGTCTTATAAAAGTTGACATTTGTACCTTATAGTTATTTATAGTTATTTAGTGTGTTTGTTGTAAAGAACTTTGTTAACCTGAAGTTTCTCCTTGATGTTTGACGGAACAGTACCCAGTGTGTTTGTTGTAAAGAACTTTGTTAACCTGAAGTTTCTCCTTGATGTTTGACGGAACAGTACCCAGTGTGTTTGTTGTAAAGAACTTTGTTAACCTGATGTTTCTCCTTGATGTTTGATGGAACAGTACCCAGTGTGTTTGTTGTAAAGAACTTTGTTAACCTGAAGTTTCTCCTTGATGTTTGACGGAACAGTACCCAGTGTGTTTGTTGTAAAGAACTTTGTTAACCTGATGTTTCTCCTTGATGTTTGATGGAACAGTACCCAGTGTGTTTGTTGTAAAGAACTTTGTTAACCTGAAGTTTCTCCTTCATGTTTGACGGAACAGTACCCAGTGTGTTTGTTGTAAAGAACTTTGTTAACCTGATGTTTCTCCTTGATGTTTGACGGAACAGTACCCAGTGTGTTTGTTGTAAAGAACTTTGTTAACCTGAAGTTTCTCCTTGATGTTTGACGGAACAGTACCCAGTGTGTTTTTTTGTTATAATCGGGAGATAAATTTGTTTATACTTGAAGTTACTCAGTCATTACATTTTTCCTTTTTTATAGAGAAAAAAATATTATCTATATATATATAACATTCCCATTTGCCAAGTAGGTCTATAGTCTGGAGCTGTGCCGGCGGGGATTTTAGTCCCTGGTACCGCCACGGAAGCCGGATTGGTTCGGACTAGGTCCAAAAGGCAAATCCCATATTTATTTTTTTTTTATTTTATCGTAAAGACTAGTTTTGAGAATGATTGATAGGGACAAGCACTGATAGTTCACATCATTTTTAATTTGCTATAGATTTCAAAATTCAAACAATAAATAGAAATGGTTTTCTCGGCACATTTCCATGAAACATATTCTTAATTTTTATGCACCTGGATTGATAGATTCAGGGTGTATATTGTTTTTATCCTGTCTGTTTGTATGTTTATCTGTTTGTCTGTCTGTTGTCAACTTAAACCTTCGCCATAACTTTGTTGCAGCCAGGCGCATAGTGTTTCACAAACGAATTTTGTTTTTTACACTCTTTTTGACTGATCAGCCAGTTGCCTCATAAATATAATATATAAATATCAAAATTATTTTTTATTCTCATTATGTTTTTTATACACAGAAAATGGTGGGTTTTCAGACTATTTCCTTCAAATTTGCAAAACTTATTAAAACTTAATTTTTTTTAGATTTTATATACCCATGCAATAATTTTGTATTTTGAACTGCAGCTAATTAAAAGTTTCAGGCAGAATCAGTCAGCGCGGGTTTTTCCGCACTATACTGAATCTGAATGTTCACATCCACGTTCTTATTACTTTCTGTCTCAAAAATAACGTACATAAGCTAACCTCAAATGTAGAATACTGCTATTATTTGATATATAACTGTTAAATTGCATTGTAAGAATAAATTTGTTGTCATCATGGTAATCAGCACTAATGAAGGAAAATATATATACACATATACACTTACTTACTTATCCTCTCTGTGACGCAGAGGACACATGAGGCTGTAACTTATTAATTATGTAAAGACTTTCATAACATTGAACAAGTTTTTCAAATGTTTTTTTATATTTCAAACATTTTTAATTTTACAAAAGATTTTTATTTTGGACACCCTTTATTAGGGAGGATTCAGTCAGCGTGGGTTTTTCCACACTATACTGAAATCTTGCACTGTTATACGATTTATTGTACCAGTTTTTTTCCTTTGATATTTAGTTAACCTAGTTCTGCTCCCAATTTAATCAATTTTAAGTACTTAATAATTATCTGAAATATGTCATTATCAGATGTTTCACTGCAGGAATAAGATTTCAATGTTCATCTCTGATGAAGGGATTTATACAAATTTTTTATTCAAATCCATGAAATCATCAATATATTAATTGACTTCATACTTGATCAAGACATAATTTATATTTTTTTCGGACTTTTTCTGAATATATACTATTTATCAACTTATTGAAATTTGCATATTTTTTTTTAATCCGGCCTTTACATGGCAATTTGACCATCTTAGTGCAGATTAATTAAGTCAGTTTGGGTTTTTCCACAATAAACTTTTCAAAATATTTCCATAAACATATATTTTTTTGCTCAAGTTTTCTTCTTAATAATGATTTATTAAATCATAAAATTCCTCCCTGTTCATGTTTTTTTTTAGCTATTACTGTAAATTATGTCAAATATATTGTACTCCAGGATAAATTGTGATATTCAACTTGGACAATGGGGTACAAACATCTTCAGGAAATGCTTTGGAATCATCATCACTAATTACTGGAAACAATGAATCTGTGTGATATTAAACTTGGATAATGGGATTTACAAACTTCATGAAATGCTATGGAATCATCATCACTTCATACATGTACTGAACACAGACGTGGATTTCTGGATCTTTTTCACCAACAGATTTTTTAATCTGCCTGAATTTTTTTTCAGCATTTTAAGTAACATTATATTTGGACCGTGGAAGATAAATTGTGGACTGAATCAGTAACAGTGATTTTTTCCATACTTCTGTGATTTATAAATACTATTTGCATCAATTTCAATATAACTTGTGCCTGTGTTTATTCGTTAGGATATACAAGCAAACTCGGAAATAAATTTATGACATCAATTTTCAACAAGTTCTTTGTGATAATTTCATCTTGGAAATCAGAAACAGGCTATAGACAGAGTTATCCTTCCTAATGGTAACATTATTTTTTTTACTCTAATTGGATTACCTCTCTTGAATCACAGATAGCTGCTTTAGGTAGGTAGGGTTATCACGTGAATATCTGAATTTTTACAAAGCAACCAATAGTATTTCGTTTTACATAGGTCATTGTTTGCAGAAAGGAAAGTGAAAAACAGCTTTTTGGCTCTCAAATCTTCTCTTTAATTTTTAGGAAGAAAAAGTAGCATGTAGCTATGGAAATTATATACAAAAACTTCCACTTGCCTTGGATCAATGTTTTTTGTTAAAGAGATTTAAACTCAAAGGTAAATTTGAACAATTCCAAAAAAGATAAACATCCAACAGTGTGTGTAGTCATCATTATCTAAATTATGTAACGGTTTAGGAAATATATCGCGTAGCATATTAATGAAGTGTGATGTTGATAAAAACAACCTCTGAAACATATCTCACAGCTTCTGCAGGCATGTAATATCGTTTTTTTGAAAAATGAAAGGGGTGTGGCTTACAAAAGATGCAAACAAGGGGGAGTTGTCCATAACTTTAAGTTCCTATATGGGGAGTGATCCTGATTTTTTTCTACACACGGATTTTATTTCTAAAGATTGCCAGGAACACTTTGACCATGTTGACTATACTGCAACAAAACTTGATGATGATGGGAAGGGGGGCTATTTCTTTAATAAACATTTTCAATAATAAATGGTTAGTTTTGGAGAAAAGAACGATACCATGTTCGTTCAGTATGTGAGGGTGCATGTTAAACTATGGAATGAGGACTACAACGATTATTTACACATTTTATTATCTTAATCAATAATAAATAAGGAAAGGAACTAGAAATTTTTATGACTTGTTGTTTTAATCCTTCAGTTTATCTAATATACATGTATATATTTTTTAAAATTCATGAAAAGAGCATTTCATCAAAACTCAAGAAGCACTTCTAAAACTTGTATTTCAGAATTATGTCACAGTCTGTGGCGGTCCCCTTAACAAATCCCAAAACGGGGTCAGATTTCCTGGCCTCCACCAATTTTAAGGTGGCTCAGGACATGTCTGTCCTTGAGGGATCCATGCAGAGTATCTTCAAGAAAGACTATCCGCCTTACCAACATTATGGTCGCGAAAAGGAGTCTGAGCGACCAAAACTGGCCGAAGTTATGACGAGAGATGACAAGTTCTTCAAGGATAAGGCATCGGAAACCGTTCGAGCGTTTGAATACCGATATCTACCAAAACCAGTTGCTTTAGATGATATTCACCAAAAGCTCCGATCAACTAACTTCAAGATGGATACTGATGT